TTTGACAAGTTGTTTAAAACTCTTTAAGTTAGAGTGCGTTACCCTTTACTTGTAAAAGTCACTATATTACAGTTACTTTGAGGATTACATTTAATGCGTGCATTTTCTAGACCATTGTCCAGAACTTGGTATGAGTCCATTTTTTCATTGTCAATCATGCAGTTATTTGAGGCCCTCCTTTGTGCCCAGAATTGAGCTCAGCAAAATTGGGCATAGCACAACATTTAAAGGTATATTCCCCACCCTCAATACCCTTGTGTCTTGTACAAGAGGCTGTGCCTTTCATTGTGTGGCCACCATCCACATTCTGGCCTCAGAAGTCTCACCTGGAGAATTGCAACTGACTTCCAACTAGGCTGTTGAACTCTATCTTTTGCTTTTTCAGTCCTTTTTGTCAACACCTCTCTTCCCCAGCTGCTCCCTGCCATTGGGCCCACCTGAGGCCTTCAGACCACAGATTTTGATTTCCCTGTCTCCTCTGTCAGACCAGACCAAGGCAGTGTTTATGGCCATGCTACGTATATTTGACACTGTTGATCTGACCTAGCTGTTTTAACAGCAATTTAGCCAATGTTTTGACTGGAAGGCACTTTGAATCGGCGTGATGTAATGCTGAAGATGGCACATTGTGTGTCTGGGTGCCTCAGGTACAAAGCCAGGCCTATATTTACCAGCGCTGTGATATTGTGCAACTACTTAGCTGTGCACAAATTCCTCAGTTGTTCACTAACTTCTGTAATAGTGTTTCTCATCTGACTGTGGTGAGGCATAAAAGACATAAGGCATCGAAAACCTTTAGCTCTGGTCTGATGTTTACTTACCATACACAGCAAATAAGTATGACAGAATAAATGTTAGCCATTTTAGAAGATTCATTATTAGGTTTGAGGGGCCCAAATGTGCAAACGCTTTAAACAATTATTACTGTTTATACAGTATCACATGCAATAGACATCTCTGTGCTTTAGCCTCTCTCCCACTGCACTTTGAGCAGCTTGCTCTGAAGCCCAGGGGTGGGGGAAGCTGAGGGATGGGGGAAGGAGCAGGGATAGTTGAGTATGTGAACATTTATTGGCACGAAAAAGAGCTGCAAAGTTTATTAGTTGGGTTTTTTTGTTTGTTTGTTTTTGGGTGTTTTTTTTGCCATGTCAATCTGTCCGTGGGGCCCAAATTCCCTTGTTAAACAACCCGTCAAAATCTCAGGTGCCGTCTGTATTAGGAGCCTCACAGTGCTGTGGGCATTAGTCCTGCTGCTGTCAAGGGGGCATTCCCTTTGCCTAGAAGAAGCCTGGGTACCACATGCCTCCCAGCTAGTCTGCTCTCCTTATCCCTCCCTCCCTGGATTTTGCCAGCAATCTCAGGAGAGTGCCTCATTTCCTAACCTAATTAGAAAACCAGTCCTCCCTGACCTCATGTTGTTTGACTTGGGCTCTGTCTAACCATTGCCAGGTCTTTTCTCTGAGGGCTGGACCATGTACCCCAATCCTTTAGTCACTGTGTTCCCCCACCCCACCCAACCCCCACCTCTGGGATGTACTCATCAATTTAGCGTTTCCTGACCTGACCCAGAGTTTTGTCATGTTTGACCTTTCTGAATGCTGGGCTGCATTCCCCAGATGAGGCCTCCAGGATTTCAATACAGAAAGTGTTAACTCCCAAACTTTCCTCCCTACTTTAATGTTGTTGGGATTACTGGTCATCATTTCCCCACACCCACTATAAGGACCAGCCATAAAGCAGGACCAGGGCCCCTAACCTTGGCTGCATCTAATTCCACCCCCAGAAGCTTCCTGTATCCTTGGAATAGGAATAGCAAGTTCTTCACAGATCCCACACACCTCAGTGTTATTGTCCGAAAATATAACTCTGTGGTTCTAGTACTCATCAGGAACTTTCAGATATTGCCTAGAGACAATAAAAGAAAATCCAACTTCTTTAGCCGTCCAACACTCTAAACTCATCTATCAATGTTTTCATCCCCATCCTGTGCTTTGGCTAAATTATAGGCAATTTTCAGACCTCCGTGCCTCTGCTCCGCTATTTCTGCTGCTCGGTTTACCCTAACTTCCTTTTTCTTCCTATAAAAAGCTAACTCATTCTTTTATGCTCAAATGCCATCTCTGTCTTGGAATTTCTCCAGTGCTTTCAATGAAAATCGATAACTCCTCAGACTTAAACTTCTAATTTAACACCCATTTCAGCTGATCTGATACTGTGATTAGTACCACAGTGACCATCTCCTCTGATTATAAATTCCTTGAAAGTAGGGATCTGGTCCTTTGGTGGTACAGATTCCTTGCCTGTGGAATGCATGTGTGAGCATGTTGTGTTTTCAAGAAGAAGTAAGGTACTTCCATCATATTCATCCTTATATCTGGACATGTCATAGGAAACTGATTTGATTGATTACCAAATTTCCCTCTCCAATCCCTACATTTTCCTCAGTGCTTCTCAGTAATTCTTTTTAGCTTAATGATTCTTATATTCACTACTAGAGGGGGGTGTCCCTCATCCCAGCCTTCACCCTCTCCAATCTGGGACCCCAAAGGGGATGTCCAACTGCTGGTTTAGGTCCAATCCCACTGGGAGGTGGACATCCCTCTCACAATCCGTGACTGCTGGCTCCCAACAGTTTGCCTGCCTGCCTGCCTGCCTGATTGCCCCTAATTGCTTCTGCCTGCCAGCCTGATTGCCCCCTAACCACTCTCCTGCCACCTGATTGATGCCTAAATGCTCCCCTGCCAGCCCGATCTCCCCCAACGGCCCTCTCCTGCCAGCCTGGTTCCCCCCAACTGCCCTCCTGTGCTGGCCCAGTCACCCCCAACTGCCTTCCCTCCCCTGCAGGCCCAGTCACTACCAACTGCCCTCCCCTGCCTGCCTGGTCACCCCCAACTGCCCTCTTCTGCCAGCCTGGTCACCCCTAACTATCCTCCCCTGCTGTCCCGGTCACCCCCAACTTCCCTCCCCTGCTATCCCGGTCACCCCACCTGCCCTCTCCTGCAGGCCTGGTCACCCCCAACTGCCTTCACCTGCTGTCCTGGTCAACTTTAACTGCCCTGCCCTGCAGGCCCAGTCACCCCCAACTTCCCTCCCCTGCTATCCCGGTCACCCCACCTGCCCTCTCCTGCAGGCCTGGTCACCCCCAACTGCCTTCACCTGCTGTCCTGGTCAACTTTAACTGCCCTGCCCTGCAGGCCCAGTCACTACCAACTGCCCTCCCCTGCCTGCCTGGTCACCCCCAACTGCCTTCACCTGCTGTCCTGGTCAACTTTAACTGCCCTGCCCTGCAGGCCCAGTCACCCCCAACTTCCCTCCCCTGCTATC